TTGTCTAGCCATGAGTAGCCGCCACACAATGTAGGTTATACTGTGTGGCTATGTAGAATAGCCACCACACAGTGTAGACTATCCTGTGGCTAGGTAGAATAGCCACCACACAGACACAGTGTAGATTATACTGTGTGGCTATGTAGAGTAGCCACCAGACAGTGTAGACTATCCTGTGGCTAGGTAGAATAGCCACCACACAGACCATTGGCTATGCGGGTGATCGTTGAATAGCACAACATAGTTTCTTTGCTTGGCTATTTAGAATACCCACATTTGAATCAGTAATGCGATGGCTATGTGGCTAAGCGTTGAATAGCACAGCAACTAGTCTTATCGTAGGAAATGACAAGGATGCTCTGCTGATTGTGGACTTACGTACTGTACAAAGACTTCACTTATCGTTGCTAAACTCGTGGGTGTTGCTCGGCGGGAAGTAGGAGGAGGAATAGGGGGAGGAATAGGAGGAACAATAGGAGGAATAGGAGGAATAGGGGGAGGAATAGGGGGAGGAATAGGGGAAGGAATAGGAAGAGAGGAACAGGAGGAGGAACAGGAGGAGGAACATGAGGAGGAAAAGGAGGAGAGGAATAGGAGGAGGAACATGAGGAGGAATAGGAGGAACAGGAGGAATAGGAGGAGGAATAGGGGGAGGAATGGGAGGAGGAATAGGAGGAAGTAGTGAGCAAAGGAGGTAGGAGCAAAAATAGACAGCTCGAATGGCTTGTGTGTTTGTTGGACGATGTGGTTCCTGGGTGAGTTTGGTTTCTGTCGATAGCAGCAAAATGCGCATTGAGTGTGATTGGGTAACTAGCTGAATGGCTAAGTTGGTTTGCTTGTCTTGGTGCTGTGTTTGGGCATCATTGGTTTTGTTATTTGTCTGATTTTTCTCTTTTGTTTAACTTGGACACTGAACTGAAAGGTTAATGCTTTCTGGATGACGAAGGCGTGGTCAACTGACTCTTTGAGGTGCGCATTGTTGTTCTGTTCCTGCTGTGTGTGCCTTGTTTTTAATGTGCTTTTGGTGGAAAGCATAGTCTCTGTTCCTTTTTGTCTCCAGACATCCATGGACGTCTCAGCAGCAGAAGGATTTCTTGGTGAGCTGCCGGTCTCCTCTGACATGAATCATTGGCATTTTTTTTTTTTTTGGATGAAAAGAAAGGTCAGAATGAAGACCTTATGTTGTGCTGCTGTGCTATTCTCTCCTCATCCTGTTGCTCTCCAATAAAAGGGACGTCTGTCGTTCTTCCTTTCTCCAGCATCTATCACTGAAAGCACCTCAGATTGTTGCTGTCCGGTTTACCTTTCCTTGGCTTAGTCTTCTGTTAGTTCCCCTCCTCCCCTCTTCCCCC